CTGAATCTACATCAAAACGTCTTCTAATTCTGCCAATGATATATTTATGAATACGACGAATATCCTGTCGCTGCTCGGAATAGTCAAAACCGGCGCTGTAGTCAACTTAGTCTTCAAAATATCAAAGGCCTTCTGAAACTCCATGCTCCATATGAACTGTACACCCTTCTTCGTAAGGTGCGTAATAGGCGTCGCAATCTTCGAGAAGTCCTGAATGAACTTCCTATAATATCCAGCTAATACTAAAAGCTGCGAATCTCTGACACCGTCTTCGGTGGCTCCCAATCAAGAACTGCCGTGACCTTATCCGGGTCCACTGCTATGCCCTCTCTACTGATGACGTGGCCAAGGAATCTGACTTTTGAAAGCCAAAACTCGTATTTGCTGAACTTGGTATACAACTGATGCTCCTGAAGAGTCCTCAATGCTATCCGTAGATGCTCCTCGTGATCTGCCTCCGACCTCGAGTAAATGAGTATATCTTCGATGAAGACGATCACAAACTGATCTAAGAAGGGACGGAAAACCCGGTTCATCAAGTCCATGAGTACCATGGGTGCATTGGTCAATCCAAATGGCATGACCAAGAACTCGAAAGAACTATATCGAGTAAGAAAGGCGGTCTTTGGAATATCAATCTCCCTAACCCGCAACTAATGATAGCCAGAACGAAGATCAATCTTCGAGAAATACTACGCACCCTGCAACTGTGACAAACAAGTCATCAATCCTAGGTAGTGGGTACCTATTCCGGATAGTGACCTTGTTCAACTCTCTATAATCTATGCATAATCTCATACTACCGTCCTTCTTCTTCACGAAGAGGTCTGGTGCGCCCCACGGAGAATGACTCCGGCGAATAAAACCCTGAGCTAATAACTCGTCCAACTGGGTCTGAAGCTCCCTCATCTCAGCTGCTGCCATACGATAGGGTGCGCGGGATATCAGGGCTGTGCCTGGCTGCAACTCGATGCAAAACTCCACCTCTCTCACTGGAGGTACTCCAGGTATGTCCTAAAAGACATCCTGATACTCTGAGACAACTCTAGTCTCCAATAACTCAGCACCCTGATCCCGTCGCATCACCTCCTCGATGTACGCCAGAAATGACTCCGCAAGTCGGATGCCCTGAGAGGCGGCTACAATCATCTCGGACCCATCGGACGCTCGCAACTTGACTGTCTTCGCAAAGCAGTCAATGCTAACATGGTAGGAAGACAACCAATATGAACTCTGACTCGTCTAAACTGACGGTACACCTCCTACAAACGCTCTCCAGAAGCGATATCTCTCCTAAAGGGGTGGAAACAGATAAAAGGGGTGTCTAGAGGCTGAGCTACAAGCTGGAGTCTAGCCATAAATGCATGCGATATGAAGGAATGCGACGATTCCGAATCGAAAAGAATACGGGTAGAAAAAAGGATTCACAAAGAACGTACCCTCCAAAACTACTCCATTATCATGCGGAACTAATGCATAAACTCTGCCAGTAGTTGAAAACTGCTCTGCTGCTGGTGCTGGAGAATATGGGACAATCTGCCCCTGGGGAACCTCCTGAACTGCTAGAGCCTGCCCCTTAGTCTTCTGTTGCTGCTGAGTTGGACCATTTCCCTTCTGAGCTCTTGTTGGTGCACTGCGGCACTCTAATGCCTTGTGTCCGACCTTGCGACAGTTAAAACAAGATCCCCGAAACTTTTGCTGCTGACTTGCTCTCTGATCCTGTTGAGATCCCCTCTTATGAGGGCTCTGCTGATGCTGTTAGGATCCAATCAAGCGTCTCTTGTTCTTGCCCTTGTCTCCGGCGTGCCCTCTCTTAGCACTCCCTTCCTCGTCCTTCTTGAACTTAGCTGTCCCATTTTCTTGAGAAATGGTGGTTTCAGCTACTGGTGGTGGTGGTGTAATGTGATTCGCCACAAACTCCTCGATTGTTGCTATCCTAGCGACTAGGGGAGCCATAAGATCTACCAGGTACTGGGGAGCCTGCTGCTGCTCAGGTGGAGTTTGCCGTGGTCCAGCCTGTCCAGATATCTGAGTACGTGACATATCATATTCTGACATCTCTGCTCAAAAGAAAATAAGGGTTTAGGAGTCAAAATAGACCTCTATAAATAGAGTATCACAATACAATTTTCACAACATATAGTATTTGGGTTTAGGAGTCAAAATAGACCTCTATAAATAGAGTATCACAATACAATTTTCACAACATATAGTATTTACACAAATACTTTAAACTTATACAAAAATAGTTGTCATAAGAAAAAAAATTTCAAATTTTAAGATATACGCACATATCGTCCTCACTCATGCTAGGAAATCCTTACGGACTCTATACATGAATCCTAGGAAACTCTATCCTAGCTCCACGACTCGACACAGGATTATCCTAAGGATACTGGAACTAGAGCTCTGATACCAACTGTGACGCCCCTGGGTTCACACAAGGCTGCAGTCCGAGGTGAAACCAGGAATGTCAAACCTGCCATGCACCACACCGTGCAATAACATGTTTCACCATCACAATTACTATCTCTCTAGAGGAAACAACAATAGGTGTAGGTACAAAGCAAGTAAAAGGTTTTACAACGAATACTTGATGAAATGATAGACCATCAAATTAACACATCTCCTCAACCAAATAAACTGGAATGCATAGTCAAAGTCTGAAATGAATACTAACAATCTGGAGATCTCAACATGTCTCAAAGTACATAATACCTGATACAGGAAATAAAGTACACAGCCTTTACAACTCTAGAACTTAAACCTCTTAAGTCTAAAAATGTCTCAAGTGGAGTACAAAATAAAATACATCTAATAAGAAGATAAATAGGCACTAGTAAGGGTTGCCCTCATCCTGCGACTCTCCGGGCTCCTGGCTCGTTACTTGAAAGGGGGAGAGACAACGAGCGTCAAAGCGCTAGCGAGCAACATCACAACCAACCCCAAGGGACAGGGCTTGTTGTATATCAAAATATAGTTAATACATAATAATATAAAATTATTTGTCCTAACAACAATGGGTTTTGGTATTTGGGAAATTACAACACGAGCGTAGGTACGTCGAGCGAAATAATCCAAACAAGGAAACCCTCATGTATATACCTTGTATCTCAAATTGTAAATCCTTAAATACTAAACCTGAGGTCTAATACAAGAAACAATAAATAAAACAAATACAAACCCGTCTCTACCGATAAATGAAATCATGACAAGGCCACCACAAGTGTCATGCAAACTCACATGAGTGTCATGTCCGAAAACGATTAAGTGTCCAAAACATAGACTATATAAATTAAACGTCCAACCCATGGACTGAAAGTAACGA